TTTTTGCTTACTCCGGCTACCAACCTTGTATATTCTTTATTTATTTTATTGCTATATTAGTGTTCATACCGTTTTCATTTATTTATATATTTGCCTTCTTACTTATTTTTTTTTCAAATTAATTTTAAAAAAAATATTAATATACAAAATAGATAAAGCCGGCCCTGTGGTGTATCGCATCAATATTTGAAACCCAGCCCCTATGTCAGGCGTGCAACGCATGCCTCAATATATGGCCTACCACTTCATTTTCGCGTGGGGGCTTTGCCCATTTACTTTCTCCATCCTCCAAGCTTTGCTTGCGTGAGCTTATGTGTATATTATATAATATATATAATACAATAATATAATATTGCGACGCACCCACTTGATTTCCCTTCTCACACGCACGCTGCCCTCTGCAATGGTCAATTGTTGCCTGGTTTCCTGTTAAATTAGTATCTATATAAATTCAATATAAATATCAATTAGTCAATACCAATACTAATACCAAATAATACAAATAATCAATACCAATATCAACCAATCAATCAATATTAATACTAATATCAATATCCACAATGCCAACATCAACATCAACACCAATACCAACAATACACCATCAATACCAATACCAATACGATTATATCCATATCAATCAATCAATTAATTTATTAATTAATTAATTAATCACTTTATGTAAATATCGATCTTCAAAATAGAGCCGGCCCTGTAGTGCATATAGTGGAATGCGGCCTTATCGCCTGCTTGGCTCTTGAGTTCCGTGTATTAGCCTGGCTTGATTTATGAGTGTGACCCTAAGTTTATTTATGATAAATTTTTGTCTTCTTGCTTGAATTGGTTTATTTGCTTACGCCTTTTACGCTGGTTGTTTACGTTTGTCTACTATGAGAAAATTAGGTTGTTTATTTAACAGTTACGGAAATGTTCTTATTATTTTTTAAATTTAATTTTTAAGAAGAATAGATTTCTTAGATTTTTTTGCAACATTGTGATATGCTTATATAAACATTTAACGATTATACGGTAAGACATGCAATTAGAAGAATTACTTAGCTTGATTATTAGGCTATAAACCTGATGCTTTGTCTTTCGCGGGGTGTCCTTCTCCTGTAGGTTTTTGCATAGAAAAAGGACATTTTTGGAACGCTCCGATCCAGGTGCGCCGGTTGACTTATCGTTGCTGCCCAGCCTCAATTAGGCACTTATTCACTTGCACACTTTTACGGCGTTATCTCACAATTTTCGCACTTCTTGCACTTGTTTGTTTATTTATGTATTTATTTATTATTCATTAACGATCACCGACATTTCCGGATACTTTGTTTCGTTTTTGGTATTTTACGTTTGTATCGTATACGCCACTTAGGAGGGATCTTGACGCATCCGACCTCTTCGAGCATCAAGACGGTACTGTATTTTAAAGTAATATTTAGTAAATATTACGAAATAATATTACATGAATAATTAAAGAAAATATGTCCTTATTAAATGCAGAACTAGCCTATGTCCATTTTTGTCGAATTTTAAAATTATCAAACATTATAATATAATTATCGAATTTTTAGAAAATTATGTTTAACAATAATACAAAATTAAGCCGTATTAAATTTATAAACAACCTTTATAATCTGTGTTTATAAAATAACTCTGTCAATTTGTAAATGCTACAACGGCTTCTGTATTGTTTATGTTTTACCGTCAGGCGGGAGGAAGAAAGTCAATCTATAAATTTGATTTTCATAAAAAAAATTGTAAGTTGGAAAACTGTCCAAGACAAGGGGATTAAATTATGTTACAATTATCAATAATGGTACAGATAATTATTTTATTCTTTTTTAAAGGACAATTGTGTTAACACTTAAATAAGTTAGTTAAATAGGTATAATATATTAAGCCTGATTTATATATTGCCTTCCTTCCTTCTTTCCTTCCTCCTGTAAAAGATGAACAATACGAAAACAGTAGTGCTGTTTATAGATTAGGGTACAGGAATCTATACACAGCACTACGGACCATAGTCTACGGTTTTGATATTGTTCATCTCTTACAGGAAGAAGGGAAGAAGGAAGGAAGGCAATATATAAACCAGGCTTTATGGTCGCCGTTTCAAATTGCCTTCTAAGTAAATCTGCAAATCTCATTTAATACTTCGTCACCTGAGTATTGGTTTGTGCTATCTCCATTTTTTACCATTTTGAGGTTTATGCATTTTCGGAAAGTTGAAGTTGGTTTGTTCCATCTCCATAAAAATATTTTGATATAATTTTGTCAGTTTTTAGTTTAGGTTAGTCTAAATCCAAGTTTAGTATAAAAGGTTTAAAATTGGTTTACTCTATCTCCAAAATTTCGCTTACAGGCTTTCTTTTGCTCTATGTATTTGTAAAAATCTGAAAATAATTAGTATTTGTTTGTGCTATATCCATTTTATAACTGTTTTGTTCTATCTCCAAGGAAAGCTTCCTTATAAGTATAAAATTATTAAATAAAGTGTTTTTTAAATCAGTTTTGTTTTATGTCTTAAAACTTTGTTATATGTCCAACATTTTGTTTCTAAAATCCAAAAATAGCACTTTTTGTCTTATCTCCAAAACGTTTTTTCCAATATTGAGGCATAAATCCAAATTTGAGATAAGAGTTGCTCAATAGAACTAATTAAAGGCCAAACAAGAATATTGTTATTAATGTTTAATTAAGTTTTCATTAAAAAACAAATAAGATATTTAATGTAAAAGTTTAAAACCCGTTTATCTCGATTATAACATATTGGACATAGAACAAATCAATACTCAGGTGACGACTTAGGTATATAAAATATTAATTTTTTTTAACTATTTTATTAATTTAGTAATTATAATTATAAAACAGGTATTTATGTTTTTTAAGATATTTTTTTAATAATTTATATTATCTATTCCAGATAATATATACTTTTAAATATTATATAAATATTTTAAAATAGCTATAAAAATATACATTTTCATAATATTTAATGGATATAATAAAAATATTCTAAAACGTATATTTTTTTATTAATATCTATTAAATATTTACTGAACATAAAAAAATAAATATATTTTAAATAAATTTATTAAATATTTACTACGTATTTAAAAACAAACATTTCCAAAATAATATTAGCTAAATATTTACTGTATATTAAAAAACATATATTATAAAAATATATTTATTATATATTAAATAAATATTTAAATATTTAAAAAACATTGAATATTCATTAAATATTAAATATATATTTAATGAATATTTGGTGCTACTGGGGATGGAGTGTGGTATACAGTGGGTGCATCATTTTCAGGACACCTTATACATTATATGAGGAGGTGCATTCCAAAACTCGGCTTATCCATATTAGTTGTTTTCGAGCAAAATGTCAAAAACCTTACACGTGAGTACTAACGCATATCAGGCAAACAATACTTTAAACAAACTATAAAGGCATAAGTAAAACATTTATATACCTTGATTAAAAAGGTATAGCTCCAGTTTAAAATAATTTAAAATTACATATGTATTTGCCGAGTTTTGCATGATATAACCAAAAGATAAGGCAAGTTTTGGAACGATTTGGAACAATTTGTAAATTAATTTTAAATGGAATTAGGTGAGTTTTAGAATATTATGAACTTTTTAGAGTATAGGAGGATAGATGTTAAATGACACCACTAACTCATTTTTATTAAAAAGTGGATAAGCTGAGTTTTGGAATGGACCTCCTCATATGGTACATTGTTTACCTCATTAACCACCCAAAGAACAAACTACAGAAAAAGTTTAATGTTATACTGCTTTTGCAACCCTGTTTCACATTATTATTCTTTATTATTGGAAATTAAATAGTTGTGTTAGTTTGTTAGAGGTTGTGTAAAGTATTTAATGTAATAACTTACAAATAGCCCACTTTAATCCAAAAATAAAACAACTATTGGAAAGTAATAGCTATTAAAAAAAATTGGAAAAATGCTCAATGTCGATTAGGGATTCTGAATATTGGTAGGACCTACAGGTCACCTGAGTATTGATTTGTTTTATGTCCAATATGTTATAATCGAGATAAACGGGTTTGAAACTTTTACATTAAATATCTTATTTGTTTTTTAATGAAAACTTAATTAAACATTTATAACAATATTCTTGTTAGCCTTTAATTAGTTCTATTGAGCAACTCTTATCTCAAATTTGGATTTATGCCTCAATATTGGAAAAATTGTTTTGGAGATAAAACAAAAAGTGCTATTTTTGGATTTTAGAAACAAAATGTTGGACATATAACAAAGTTTTAGGACATGAAACAAAACTGAATTAAAAAACACTTTAGTTAATAATGATTTACTTTAATAATAATAATTATAATTATTGTCAAAATACAATGTCATATACATGTAAATAGGTGAATAAACGTGTGGATATAGAACAAAACAATTTTATATTTATAAGGAAGCTTTCCTTGGAGATAGCACAAAACAGTTATAATTTTTTTTTTCCATATGGATATAGCACAAACAAATACTAATTATTTTCTGATTTTTACAATCACATAGAGCAAAAGAAAGCCTGTAAGCGAAATTTTGGAGATAGAGTAAACCAATTTTAAACCTTTTATACTAAACTCGGATTTAGACTAACCTAAACTAAAAACTGACACAATTATATCAAAATACTATTATGGAGATGGAACAAACCAACTTCAACTTTCCGAAAATGCATAAACCTCAAAATGGTAAAAAATGGAGATAGCACAAACCAATACTCAGGTGACGAGGTATACACTTAACCATACCCAAGTGTACTAGTAGTAACAAAGTTAAAAAGTTTAACAAATTTTATTGTATAACTTAATATTTATATTAATTTGCAATAGGTAATGTAAACATAATATCTTTATTTTAGTAGGTATTATCTTCACAATAAATTTGCACAAAACAAACCCATTTTTAGAAAACAAATAAATTAGGTAAATATTTTAATTTTTACATTACCCCATAGTGGAAATTGTTCTTCTTTCTGGTACCCTTTGTCCAAAAACTGGCGTAACATGACCAGAAACCGAATTATTTCCAAAACTCACACTTGATCTACCGAGGCTGTTACCTCCTATGTTTCTTGTAAAGTTCAAATTTGCCATAGCTATCTATTACGACATAGATCACTTTTCAGCATAACGAAATTAAAAAAATGTTTCTTTTAACTTTTTGCCTTACGTTTTATATCAATTTTCTAGCACAAAAAATACATACAATAACATAATAAACACTCTAATCTAAATGCAATTATATATTTCGTCGTGATACTAAATCACTATTCACTGAATCACGATTTAAAAATGCAAAATGAATAATTTGCAATAAAATATAAAGTTAGATAAAAAGAACCTGTAATTTCAAGCCAATATATGTTATTGTCCAACTTTGATCCGCCATTACGATTTATAACTGTCAAGCGAAACGGTTCTTATACTAGATATGTCAGCTGTCTATAATTCCTATTATGAATTTTATTCCATAGATGGCCTGTATGTATTGTCAGCACCACATACTTCCACACATCTACAAATCATTTCTAACTTAAAGTAGGGGAAATATTCTCACACGGTAGCGGGCATTGAGGCGCATGCGTCAGCTGCATTGCCGGTTTTAAAAAAATAACATATTTTTGTCCCTATTTAAGAAGTATAATAAATACTTTTTAATAAATTGTATATAAATTGTATGAAAAAAGCATTTAACAAGAATAAACTCTTTTACTTTTATACTTTTATAATGGCATTTTTATAAAGTAAGAATTTGGCAACATCGCATTTTGATTACGATTATCATATCATAGCCAAAAGGACCTTTTGAAAAGGTTTAGCTCGAACGAGTTTAGATCTTGTGAGTTTAGACCAGGGTGGAAGAAAAAGGTGATATATATCCTATCTCTACAGTACCTACAGAAGCAAGCGTCCTGATAAGTCAGTATTTCGTTCGTTGTTCGTTAGTGCTCATTCATAATGAACGTAACCATAAGATGACCGTAAAACGTAAACATAATATCACCATAATTATTAATATAAACATATATATAAATTAATTTATATATTTATATATGTTTATATTAATAAGGCGCGCATGTCCAAGTTCACTAAAAGGGCAGCATTGACAGATTTCGTCTAATTATTATGTCTTAAAACTTAAAAGTTTTAAGACAAAATAATTATAATTATAAATATAAATTAAAATTAAGTTAAAACTATCAGTGTTATCATAACCTTAGTGTAATGAGCGATATATACGTTGGCAAAGAGAAGAACAAAATGGCGAATTTCGTCGAATAATACTCGAACTAAAACTTTAGGATAAGGAATGGTTCTTCTTCTTCTTCGTCAACTTGGGCGGACTTCCGGCTCAGCCACCGCCCTTATGGTCCTGGACAAAAGTCCTTATTAACCAGGTACAAGTTTTAACGTCCAATGATTTCAGAAGAACCAAAAACCATTGGACAACGGTTGTCTAACAAACACGTGGACACAAATAGGTTATGTAACCTTAAAAATTATAGCTTTAGTCGTTTTTTCAGGAACGATTAATTGTAGCACCCGGACAATACCATGTTGCCAAATGTACAACTTATTTGACAACTCCTAATGGCGGGATATTTAAATGTGGCCTTCGGCTCGTGTGACAAACTTTTCACTGAGCAGAATATACCTACTATTCCATGGTAGTAATGAGCTAGGTATTGTTTAGAACAGACAAGGTTTTGGTGTTTGATGTTTAATCTGTGTTATTATAGAGGGGTTTTCATTCTTTTAAGTATTTTTATTTCTGTAGTACTAAGCTGTTGTTTGGAACTGACAAGGTTTTGGTGTTTGATTTTTAATCTGTGTTTTTATTGTTTTAAGTATTAAGTTTTAAGTGTTGTATATTTTTATGTTTATAAATTGTTAATAACAATTTGTTATGGCTTCAACAAACTTTAAGTGTGATATTTGTCAAAAGTGTTTTGCTTCCAATGGGAATTTAAGAAGGCACAATAAGACACATGAAAATGATATCGTTGAGTCAAAAGGTAAACTATTAAAACCATGATACATTTATCATTACTATTATTGGCAAGTATTATTTATTGGACAACAAAAGTATATACCCTACAGCACAGAACATAAGCCCCACAGCCTGTGGGCCACAGGTGCTTTTATGAATGCAGTAGTGCACCGTACACTACCTACTCAGTCTGAGTAACTCAGATATGTATAAAATCTACTCACATAAGGCTTTATAGTATAAAGTTTATACCATTCTAGATAATAACAGTAGTTATTTAGAACTTGCTTAACAATTATTATATGATAATAATTTATATCTATAGATATGCCAAGAATGTATAATAGGTACCGTAATTTAAGGTAATATAATAGATACAATTTGTTTTATATAATGGTGAATAACTATCTTATTTTTTAATCAATTAAACCCAAATTTTTGGAGCTGATAGAAGTTCATTTTGGTTATGGTAATTTATTCAGAACCAATTATTTGGACAGCTACTTTTTCAGTTTTTTTTTCAAAATTTAAAGCCATAACAAATTGTTATTAACAATTTATAAACATAAAAATATGCAACACTTAAAACTTAATACTTAAAACAATAAAAACACAGATTAAAAATCAAACACCAAAACCTTGTCAGTTCCAAACAACAGCTTAGTACTACAGAAATAAAAATACTTAAAAGAATGAAAACCCCTCTATAATAACACAGATTAAACATCAAACACCAAAACCTTGTCTGTTCTAAACAATACCTAGCTCATTACTACCATGGAATAGTAGGTATATTCTGCTCAGTGAAAAGTTTGTCACACGAGCCGAAGGCCACATTTAAATATCCCGCCATTAGGAGTCAAATAAGTTGTACATTTGGCAACATGGTATTGTCCGGGTGCTACAATTAATCGTTCCTGTTTTTTCGCGTAAATACCATGAAATACTACTTAACCTTGGTTAATAGTTAAGGCATTTTTGCGTTTAGAGTGCGTTCAAAAATCCTAACTATGATGTCACAAATACCAGACCATAAAACAATAGCTGCATTTTATTGCCCATTCTCCCTATTCTCCCTTAAATGAATGGTTGTTTTTTTGAGTCACAGAATGATTCTTCTGTCATTAATGTCATTCCGATGATTCCTTACTTTTGTTTGGAATCTTCAGAATGAGGCAGAGTGGGGGGATATTCCCCTGAAAAAAGTGCATTTAACAACCGCCAATTTTAAAAACTATTATGGTTTATAATAAACCCAGCAAGTAATAACTGTGCGTTATCCATATTTTTAAACTTTAAAAAGAAAATTGAGGTCACAATCCACACAATTGGTTATTAGGTTCATAAATTCCCCCACCTTTGGCAAAGTGACAGGGCTCAGAATGAATTTGCAAACGGGAATCATTCTGTTTTTATTCCATTCCACTTTCAATAAAATGCGCCTAATATCGCTGAGCTAGTTCTTCAACGTGGTTAATAGTCTTTTTCTCTTTTTAATATATATTTTTCTGTTTCGATCTGTCAAAAAGTTGTTTACATTTGAAATTTAAAATATTTTAAGTAGGTAGGGTACAACCAAAGATAATATTATTATCTTTGGGTACAACCGAATTTAAACCGAATTTAAAGTTTAAATTTTATACTTTGTATTAAAATGATAGGGTGCTCCATATTGTGGAATCTCCACACGAAGTGGAGGAATTATATGCAGGTTTGTTTTATATTCTTCCTTATTTTGTATTAAACATGTAGGAGAATTGGATAACGTGTATTGAAAAACTAGTATAGAAAAAGAATATACTAGGTATAAGAAGAGGCAAAGAAATTTATTTACACCGGTAAAAGCATAGAAATTAAATATAAATACAAATAAATAGGTAAAAACACATTTCAAAAATTATAGGTTATGAACAAGTAAACAAATGTCAAACCTAACCATGGTTATACGAATTAACTGTGACGTCATGACTTATTTAACCGTAGTATTATCGTGCAACAGGAATATTTCTATTCCGGGAATCCAATTTCGGTCGAAGAGTCACCTATATTTCAAACTTTTCATTGAGCGGTCCGTACCCTAGCACCAACAAAATCGAATGGTTCTTTAGATTGTTTGTTCTGTGGAAACACCAGAATCAGCGTTGCCAGACCACGAAAAATTTCCGTACTGATTTGGAATGAAAAACGTACTGATTTTAATAAAAAAGTACTGTTTTCAAAAAAAATACAAGATGTTAATGTTTTGACGTACACCTCGTTTCTTATTGTAGTACACGTTCATCGCCCATAATGGCGGGTGGGGGCGTTGCAACCACATACTTAAAGTATTAAGCCTGATTTATAGATTGCCTTCCTTCCTTCCTCCCGTAAAAGATGAACAATACAAAAATCGTAGTGCCATTTATAGTACAGGAATCTTTAAACTGCACAACGGTTTTTGTACTGTTCATCTTCTACGGGGGACCCACAGTTAAGCATGATTTAGTTACCAGACTCTGTCAAAAAAAGACCGTACGTTTCGTTCGAATTTACCTTAATTACAAAAATGACTCAATGGACAATATTAAATAACATCAACTTGACATAATTGCATTTATTTGTATTGTTTCATTGTGTCATTTTGTAATTAAGGTAAATTCGAACGAAACGTACGGTCCTTTTTTGACAGAATCTGGTAACACCCACAGTGTGGGTTCATAATGACCGTTAGAATAAGCATAAGAAATACATAACAATAGACCTATCCCATAAAACAGACTTTTGGATAGCGCGTGCCTGAAGTAGAGTGGTATCTCTTTCTCTTTTATAATTATAAAAAGGACAAGGTGCCTTTTTACGCACGCGCTATCCAAAAGTCCGTTTTATGGAATAGGTCTATACCATATACCTACTTAAAACATAATCACAAACACAACGGCCTGCAACGCACTAAACTAAATTATACTATATTATATTATATAAACTAAATTATACTATATAGATGTATATAATATTTAATTTAGATAGTTCTTTACTTTTAAGCCTATATACACTTTTAAGTTGTTTTTTTAAGGTTTATTGACTTTTAATCTTTTCGACTATTTAGCCAGCTCATTATTATATATTTTTATGCTCGAAAAACAAGCACAACACCCAAGGCTGTGACCGGGAATCGAACCTGGTACCGTCACTTTAAAGTTTTAAATTAATTGACCATATGCAAGGAATGCGGTCGATGTTGCCAATGGTAAAAAATAAAATTCCCTATTGGGAACATTCAATTATATTACGTTGGCTACACTGAAATTTTGAATTTCCCGCACAAACTGACATACATTCTAGGAGTTCCCAGAGATAAAGAAGGTAGTTCCAATATTGTATAACAAATTAAGGTGCGAATTTGAAATGTGGGATTTATTATTATTTATTATTATAAAAAAAAAGATGGAAATTAATTTA